CCGAAACCTCGCAACGGCTGCGGAGCGCATTTGGGCCTAAGATGAGGTTTGAGTCTGCATGATCTGCGTGTAGGGAGGGGCAGCAGCCATATCATTAGCTAGAACTAGCTAGATCTGATGGATTTGGACATAAACGCGAGCGAAGTATAACCGGACGAGAGAGAGAGAGAGATCAGCACCTGCAGCTCTGCCCGCTGTGAGGGGCCGGTGAGCGGAGCAAAACACACCTTTAGACGTCAACTTAGCTACGGCACTTTCATATACATTGAATTATTCCATTTGATAATATGTAATCAACTTAGGCACCCCTCTCAAAAAAAAATAAATATATATATTCATAACTCATATTTTCATACCTGAATAATTTCTAATATAGATTAATCGTTCCCATCCCTAGTTTGTATACATATGTATAATACTGTCTGTTTACATTTTATTTTCTTAAAGAATCCTGTAAGCACTATTATTTTTTTGCTGATTTGGGAAAATGTTCATTCCTTTGCTCAGATTGAAAAACAAGTAGTGCTGTTATGTATGCAATGTTTCAGGGACTGTTTTAAAAAAAAAAATGTTTAACCAGATATTGTGCAAATGGATTTAGGTTATTTATATTAAAGACAGCTTTCCTACAATGAGATTTTAAAAATAGCAATATATCGCTTTGGCTCATACTTGTGTTTTGACAAAGTGTTTATGGGTGGGAAAGATATGATACCGAAGCCATTTGTCTGTTTCCTTTATTTATCTTTATTTAAATATTTATGTTGCCAAAGATAAATTCTAACAAAATGTCTGACTCACTCTTTTTTGAGCTTCCAAAGCAGAGACATATTTAGATAAATAAATTAAATATTATCCACATTAAAATTCACATGAAATATGAATGTACAAGGAGAGGTTTGTATGAATCTCTGCTGGATATCCGTTCAATGTACGGAATGTCCTGTTTTTGTATGACCTCTCAGATGATAACAAAGTCAAAATGTGTCATACTGTTTCTCCTTTCTTCACAGGGACTTTGAGGAAGAATATCCATGCGATTGGATGGATGAAGTTGAGAAAATGTTTTCAGAACACTAAAGTCTCGTTTCTAACAGGATGCTTACACAATCACACTTTAAACAATCACTACAGACACTAACTGTTTGCCAAAATCATTTCACATCATATTTGAGACCAGGTCTGGATCTTTCATCCACGTTTACAGAAACCCAGTTAAACTCTAACAACACTGGGTTATTTATAATGTATGTTTCAGGTACTGCATTGATTTTTGTATTGCAAAAATACACTAAGTTCAAATTGTATACTGTTAAACTTGTTGTCGTAAAACCTCTTTTACATAAAGATGTCTGAGTTGTGTGTGCGCTCTGTCTCTAATTGGATTTGAACATCTGCTGGGTACTGTTCAGGTTACCAATGATAACATTCCCAGCAGAATGAGGCCGTCTGACGGGGGGCTTCTGTTTGGCTTGTCGGGGAAGCAGGAAGTATTAGACTCAGAGCAGCTGGGTCTCCAAGGGGTCACACCATTTTGAACCCGCCCTAAACTTTTGATGTCAATTTCCGCTGCAATATCAAAAGTAGACTAAACATGTTGAGTCATCGGTATTCTTTGTGTTTTATTCTCTATGCGAGACACAAGCAAACCCAACATCTGGACCCTTTAGCTGTTGTGTTATTTTTAAATGTCTGTGACCACTAATGGCTGACAGAGAGGGAGATGACTGCTCCTCTTTCATACAGCAAGTGTTAATTTTGTCCCACTAGGTGGAGTTGAAATCACTCGTGTGAACCTTTGCTGTGGGCAGGAGTGAGACATGTTAGATCCTGGTTCAAATATAGATAAATCTTTGTTGAAATAATTCTGCTTGTTAGAATCTTATAGTCCGAAAAGTGCTCACCGTGCTTTTATGTGAATATAAGGGACTCTGCTCTTGGTTTTAAAAGCGTAAATACATTTAATGAGAGGGAAGTTAGTCTTTGTTCTGCCAAATTAGAAGCTCTACATAATGGAGTAATTAAACAGCCAACTACATGTTTGGCAACAGTAAAACCAAAAGAATGCCTCGCCCATGACCGTTTGGGCTCAACAGGATACATATACTCCAGACCCTTGAGTCAACAAAACCATAATGCTGCTGATTCACCAACGGTCACACCAGGGATGGATTATCCTGCTGCCAAAGTTCCTCCAGGGACTGAACCTCCCCTCGGCTAACAGGAGGACTCTGCTATATGAGAGGCTTTTTCCAGATATCTGCCAGCGATGTGTTTAATTGAGGAAGCTCTGGTCCCTTATCATGAAGCCACACTGAATCCCCCTCCAGGGCTCACACCACAGACCCCTGCTTTTTTTAATTCCCACTGTTTCCCCTTTCCCTTTCCAAAGATGTCCATGTTTAGTAAGGATACAGATTAAGTGGTGTCGCATAGCTGAGCTACAACACCCCCATGCTGTGTGTCCTGCAGATAGGAGGGTCTCCCAACAGTTTCACAAAGGGCTTGACTGCATCTCTCTAGCTCAGCCTTCTAATATTAACTGAGGAGTCTAAGCTTGAATGGTATAATGAGGATAGGGTTATTAAGAGCAGTACAACATATTTTTTGAGGGTTTCATTTATTGAATCAACTGATTTCTGGACAGCCTTCAGTATCAAGAAGTGTTAGGAATTGTAAGTTGGCATTACATGTTCAGTCAGATTCTTATGTTTGATTATTTATTTAGGTAAAGGTCTTTATTAGACACTGTTTCTTTTAGCAATTTGGCATTAAATAAAAAACATGCTGGAATGTATGTATGTACTATTCGACTGCTCTGATATCGCATTGACACCAGTGTTAAACCAAGGCCTTAATCCAAGTGTGGGGCGATATTTGTAACACATTGTAATATTAGTAGACATAATACATGTTTACCTAGAATGACTAACCTTGTGCAAGTAGCTAACAAACATTACAGTGAAAAAAATAGTACTATAGTATAAAGTGTTGTCTTTTTGTTGTGGTATTTTCCAAACTGTTTATAATTTCTTCACTTTTTTATCTGATTCTTGAGATTCTATTCATAATTACATTATGCTCAGTGGCACTGATAAAGCAAGCCAGAAAGTCGGCCCACATCGAGCCTTGAGTCACAGCGTCTGCTATTTTTTGGTAACAATTAACATAGACAGATTTTGTCATTAAAATATAATGACAGCATCTCACACTATATATGTGTTTTCTAAAAACATCACCAAACACTCTCAGAAATTAGCATCCCTCTTAAAGAGAAAAGATGATTATATCTTTGTGAATTTAAACACGATTGGTTTACGTAACATTGTGGGTGTTCAGGTTATTTAGTCCACCCCTTGTTGTCAGGTCTTGCAAGGCCAACAGTTCAGGTAAAACTCAGAATCCTGACTGAACACTTTATGAAGTTGTACTTCAGATAATATAGAGCCATAGCAGCAGAATAACACGAGCTTCCTCTTGCAGGAAGGATATGAACTTATGTCTGTTATATTTCAAAGGCAATATAAAAGGTCATTACATATATTTATTTAAATAAATAGTGCAGCACTGCTACACCGCAAAAAGTAGATGTAGGTGTGAGGTCTTGACTGCATTGTTTTTCTTAACAAGTACAAGCAAAAACCACAAATGTCCCTGTTCTGTACCTCGCGTGCAAGTAGAGCAGCTAAAACCAAAATCTATGAAACTAAGGGCACACATCGTGATAGCATTTCCTCTCCATTCTTTCTCTGTTCGCCTTACCTTGTCGTCTTATTCATTTGATAGCAGGCTACATCCTGTATTTCAGTATCTATTCAGAGGCACAGTGAGGCTGAATCTCCTACCATTGCCCAGACACCTAATCTGAAGTACGACATTGATTTTTCTTTCTGCTCAAATCCTGGTGACCTGATAGTAGCTTCCCCTCTTATCAAAGGATGCACAAAAGACCTTTCATTTTGTCGATTTGGAAGTGGTCTGCACACCTCACACTGTCATCACCCTTGATGAAATATCGACGCTTGTTATCTGCAACAATCTCCGTTCCCCTTTTGTTCGCCTTTCATAGTGCTTCTTTTTCTGGCCTGCTTTCTGAGCGCCTCTAGCTTCACACAGGAAGAGCGCTGCAGATGCAAGATGACCCAGTGAACTCCGTGGAGCTAGCCATGCTTCGAACGGCATTTTTAACCAAAAACCTCTTTCAGTGTTCTTATTCAGAGCAAACTGAGTTGTTTTAAATGTTCAGCTTCGTCATTTCTGCAATGTATTTGCGTTTTTAGGGAAACGTTTAAATCCACAGTGGTATCAACCACACACTGAGGGAAACAATGAAACCTGCTACCATGACTCACTCATAAAGAGAAGTGCTGTTTATTCTTCACGGGGAGCAGCTCTTCCTGTTAATAACAAAGCACTCAGGCGCTGCAGTTGGGAGTCTCTTTGCAACTATAAATACGGGAAAAGTCATTGTTGTGATTATTTTAGGCCCTCTGCCTTGACCCTCCATTGTCTCCTGCATGTTTTTTGTAGCTGCACCAGACAATAGAAGAGCAGGGTTTGTCGGTCGCTCACTGTAAAAAGCTCATAAAAAAAGGTTACATTTGGATCCCCTGCTATGTGAAGGGGGACAGTGCAGGTTGTGTGGCCATTTGCAATTAGAGACTCTGCTATTGTTTGTGGCTCACACATTTGTCATCTCCTGAGGGGATGCTCCACCTTGAAGCCGGGTCACAGGCTCTGCTGCCTGTCCCTTTGCCACATTTTCTCTGAGATAATAATACAGCAATAGCAAACTTTTCAACAGTCTTGAAAATTTTTCCTTTTGTAGCTTATATGGATTTTAATGAAATCAAAAATAAAGAAAGTAGTATATTAAGCAGAGGTAGGAAACACTGTAACTAAGTACGTTTACACAACTTGAGTATTTCCATTCAGATGTAAATTGTGTATTTTTTTACATCATTACATTTATTTTGTACCTTTAGTTACTTTCGATTAATGATGAAAAATATACTCAACACTTAAATCAGACTTTAGTTTCACCTGGAGTAAATTCACAAGCTTCACGGCAGTATGCAAAATGTTAAAACTAGCTGCACCTTTACCAGCTTTGATAAACACATTAATGCATCAATAATTATAATCAAACATATAATACATATTTTTCTGAAATGAGCTGATCTGCTTGATAAGTACTTTTACTTTTGGTACTTTAAGTACATTTTGATGCTAATACTTTTGTACTTTTACTTTTGATTGCAAGACTTGCTTCTAACAGAGTATTGCTAGATTCTAGTCCTTCTTTTACTCAGGTACAACATCTGACTACTTCTCCCACCTCTGTAAGTAAGTATATCGCTCTGATGAAATGTATTTAAAAGTAATACACGTATATATTTTTGTTTTGAATCCCATTCATTCAAATTGTGAAGTTAAACTTATCCTTCCTCGTAACGCTATAACATGTTTCCTGTGTAGCTCCCAGGGACTAGTGTCATGGGGCATTGGCCATGGCAGATTTTCCTGGCAGTAAGGAAACTGTGAGCATCTCTAGTAAAAGATATCCAGCTTAGTTCTCAGATGTACTATATTGTGAACTCTTGGCCTAATTTTCTGCTTATGTCAGAGAAGAAAGTTAAATTTAGCGCTTGCTTTCTTATCGTTGCACTGATCTAAACGTAAATCTCATGCCATGCGAAGACCTGTACACATCAGCCACAAACAAAATTCTTCTACCATTCTATCTGTTTCATATCCTGTGAAAAGCAACACCTTGCAAGAGTTATGAAACAAGTCTAATTTAGCACTGGTTGATACCTCTTTTACGAACACATGCACAGGAAATGCCAACTGTATACTTCTGCTCTTCTTGAAAGTGTTACTTTTTCAATAAAGTACAGCACTGAGTTTGATGCAAAGTAAGTTCAGAACTGCTGGAAATGCAACGTATAAAAAAATGCTAGTGCTGTGCTTCCAAGCATTCTGTTTTAGAGGCACAGTTTGCTTATCTTATTGATTTTGAACCATCAACACTGCACAAGTTCAAACAGGAAAGGATGACTAGTTAATGATTTATGTTTTTATCAGCCATGCCACTTGGAATTTCCCAGCACAGCCAGCACTGTCCTCAACACTTAAAAATGTCACACAGTGAAGACCAAAGGGAAACTGTTGGTGTTAAAAACGTTACTGCACCATATTAATGGTGTTTCATGTTTTGGCTCGTAAACTTAATCAACATACTTTATAATTGTGTTCCAGTGTTTCTAATGTATGTCCAGCAGCTTTTATTTATTTTCGACTCTTCAAGTTGTGTGTCCTTATCAAAGAAAGCCTACATTTAAAAAAAGAAGAATCTTGGATTAAAGAATGAAGGAAGTAGAAAAGTGCTTGGTAAGACAAGGGGACTATTGTTGAAATATATCAGTTGTAAGTTGCCCATTGACATGTATGTGTATGAAATGTGCTCCTTATTTTTTTATTGCATGATATATTACGTTTTATGTTGTTGCTCTGAGCTAGTATCTTAAAGTTGTGTAATTAATCATATTGAGCTGTCAGATCCTCAGGGCTTTATCATTACATCATCGTTGTGATGAAACAATTAAGTAGCTGAATAAATAAATCGAAATATTCAATGTTATGAAATACGCAATCTAGTGTTTAAGAGGAAATACATTTTTATAAAGCTAAAGCTCCACGTGATGTTCAGCTAAACACTGTTTAACATAGGAGTATTCATGACTTCTTTGTTAAGGAGCTAAGACTTACAAAACATTCCCCTTATTTTCTATTAATGGATTACAGGTAAAGTAGTACAATCAATATTTTATGATCAGTTATAACTTGCCTTTCTTGTTTAATGATACCAGTGAAATTATCTTGATTTTATCAGTCTGGGCTAATTGTGTGAGTTTTTTTAAAGATGACCTCAAGGGTATCAATGAGCCGTGTCCTTCCCCAACCTAGGGCCACTGTGTTAATACATTAGGTGTCTCCCCGGGAGCCTGGTTCAAAGGGACATAGAGGTCGTATTTTAAGCTTGTCATTTTTACATTTGACAACAGCACTGTTCTTTTGTGGGAGATAAATACCTACAGAAACCAACAGGAACTTGCAGAGTAAACATACACTTGATTAAATCTTAGTAAGAGCTGTGTGGATTTCTGTCAGCAGTTGGTTGAGAAGATGAGGACATCACCTCACTTGGGAATTGAAGAGTGACTTCTTTCTGTGGTTGAAAGAGACAGCTCATAAGAGAGGGAAAGTATTGTGTGGTCTGAGAGGCTCTACTGAAATTCCTCATGGGGAACATGCTGACCTCGATGCTGACCTGTAAGCGTCAGCTTTTATGTGTGGTTGTGCTGTGGAGTGTGCTATGGGCATTTGTTTATGAGTCTGTGCTGTAGTATTAGTGCCGGGGCCCGGGTATCACTAATCCTGCCATGTGCTTAGTGGAGCCGCTGTGTAAAACTTGATAGGTCTAGTCTCAGTAGTTTTGCTGATCAGTTCTTTACTGTATAGTTCTGTTTTTGAGGAATATAATTTGCCCTTTGCCAAAGCTACAGTATGTACAGTGAATACAGAGAAAAGTATTCAGCATTAAGAAACAGGTAGTCACTTTCAAATGTGCCCCTAAACCAAAAAATGTCATGTCATACTGTGAGCCAAAGTATTATGGTAATTGGTTGATTACTCTTCAAAAAGGTTTTATTATTTGATGTCACCTAAATATTGACTTTTAAAGTACAAAATAATGAATAGATGTTCACATAGGTGGACAATGTTATTTTTCAT